AGATATAATTAGCAGTTGTGTATAAACATTGGTTACAAATGGCTGCTGCGTCTGTAAGAAGATTTAAGCTCCATTTACACTAGGCACGATAACGACATATCTTCGCGTGGTTTATATTCGTCAAGACTGAGTGCATTTTTATTGTGTCGTCATGTCGTTATCGTGTGAATGTAGCTTTAATGATGTTTTAAGTTTCTGTACGCATTACCAAATTTTCTCAAGACAAAAAAAACTGTTGTATGCCCATATATAGTCATGGTGTTACCTACAGTATATGGTCATAATATGATGTCATCACGACCGTATTTAGGCATGTCACATGTTTTTGTCAACCAATTGTACTGACAGCAGCCTCGTTAAAAAAACATTTTGAGATTCAAATTCATATTTATTTTCTTCAGTAATTACTACCTTTTATATGGCCCCTATTTTCCTCCTAAAAGGTAGTTATATTTTAGTATCAAACAATGGTAGATTAAAAAAAAAGCCAATGGTCACAAATATTACTAAGAAATGTAAATTAATTACATTCATGATTATAATAAAAGGAAAAAAGGTATCTTATGATTATTTTTATGGGAGAGCATACATTTTGGTCAAATTAAATATTTGCATTTAATAAAGTCTACTGCCGATTGCATTGATAATGATAGATTAAACTGTATTCAGGATGTAGGTTTATCTCCATATTAAATAATAACTGTCATATGCCAGATAACTACCAAGTTACAGAGTTCATAAAGTAATTCTAAAGGATAATATTTATCTTCAGTTCACTCAATTCAATATTTAAAGGTTATTACAGGATATGAGGTACTGTTACCCAGACTGGGAGGTACTGTCAATCAAGCTGTGAGGTGTACTCTCACCTGGGCTGTGAAAAACTGACACCCAGGCTCTAAACTACTGTCACTCAGGCTATGTACAGTATACAGTACAGTACAGCCACCCTGGCTGTGATGTACTGCCACTTGATCTATGAGATACTGCCACCCAAGATTCTGCTACCACAAGTAAAAGGTGACACCCAAGCTTTGAATTACTGCCACCGGGGCTGTGAGACTGCCACCCAGGCCGTGGGGTACTGTACTGCCATGCAGGCCGTGAGGTACTGCCACCTGGGCTGTGAGGCACTGCCGCCCGGGCTGTGAGGTACTGTTACTCAGGCCCTGGGGTTCTGCCATGCAGGCTGTGAGGTACTGCCACCTGGGCTGTGAGGCACTGCCACCCCGGCTGTGAGGCACTGCCACCCCGGCTGTGAGGTACTGTCACCCGGGCTGTGAGGTACTGCCATCTGAGACTCTGTTTCCACAAGTTCATTGTTTTGAAATAAAAAATAAAGAACCAGTATCTCTGGAGAAAGATACCTTCACAAGTGACAGCCATGCTTTTGCATCTCTTCAGTTTTATCTTTATCCATTTGTTTTTTCTGTCCTGTTGCATTTTGCCGGAAATAAATTTAAAAAAAAAACAAAGAAAAAGAGAAATGTTTGTTTTTTTATTTAGAAACCCACCCTAACAGGCATGGGACCAAGAATAGATTTAGAGTGGAGGAGCCAAAACAGATTTTATACCCTTAAACTAAAATCAAACATTGTGAAATAATAACCTAAATGAAACTAATCAGAGTACTGAGAGGACTACTGTAAAGTATATTGTACTCTCTGGGGTTGAGGTAGGTTTTTTTTTTTTTTCAAACCATCTGTAGCCTAACAACAGATCCTAAATCCATCCCTGGAGACACTATTTATAAAACACGCCACAGTTGAAGTTTGTTGAGAGTTTAAATTTATAAACGGATTCATAAGTAAAAAGAAAATGTGGCAGAAATAATAAATACTTTGATTTATATAAGTGTTCTATACTCTTTGTCTGGTTGAGTGCACAACTGTTTTTTCAAACTATTCATGAAAACCACATTCATTGACAATAGTTTGCATGTTTGTCATTTATTGATCATTAGAAATAAATAGGCCAAAGCACGTCATGAATGGTGATCCAGGGGCGCAAAATGTTCAACAATGACACTACTCTAGCAATCATGCCACTAGTACAAAGATTAAAGATTATCCAAAATATAAATTCACTTTTATACACAAAGAAAAAAAATCACAACAAAAATTGTCCAATACTTTTTTTAGGATACTTCTTTTTTTAAATTTATGATGTGAAAAATCTGGAAAATTTCAAATGATTTAATAAATTATTTAAAGTAAAGTAATGCATTATTGAATATATGTCTCTTAGGAATATCTGTAGCAAAACATAGATAAGGGCCTTATACAATCGTTCAAAAGGAACCATAATTTTTGACCTATACAGGACTTGTGTTCTGAGGCGAGCGATTGCACTCACACACTATCACTCACCTAAAATCCTCTTCAGGACTGAGAAGAATAGAGCACCAAATGTTTGAAAATCACTCATAAACCCCAAATACTGTGACAATGCTTTCTGCTAGGACGTATTTTGAGTTGCTTTGAACTTTAACACCACTTTGATGACTGTCAATAGTAATTAAGTGTCTATCTATTCCAAAAGTGTTTAAATTTTCTCCTCCTCCAAGCAATCGTTTGCCTAAACAAAATTAGGTGTGTGCTTTTTATCTCACCTGCCATTTTCAAATAACAAGCCCTGCCTATATCGTAAGGAGGCAAGGGACTTTCCCTTTCTTAACCCTTTGGAAGTATGATGCAAAAATCAGAAGTCAAGAATGTATCAAATGAGCTCTGTATCTCCATTTGGAAAGCCTAAACTGGTTTCAAAAAAATCTATAATTTATTGTTTACAACACCACATGTGATCCAACTATATTTAGCTGATCACTTGGGGTCATTGATACTCCATAAACCAGACTTATTTTTATAGCCAAGGAACAAGTTCTACACATGCTTACTTTTAAGAGGCCTCTGGAGCAGCTAAAGGACCTTTTGCCACCAGATCAGATCACCTCAAATCACCTTATTTTGTGAGCCTGTGTACCCCCAATTAATCATAGAGTCCCTTGCCTCTTCAACTTCGTGCCCCAATCAGCTCCCCCATTTTAAGACTCCTGGATATTGTACAATATCCACTGGGCACGAGACATTATTTTATGACCGTTCTATTTGGCCAGACAGCATGCACTTACGGGCTTACTACATGGTAAGCAGTAACCATCTCAAGAGAAATGACATTGTCTTATTTTATGTCACACTGAAACCAATGACATGTCACTTTACCAATCTGCCACTCCTAATTAAACACGACCAAAAAGCATGACTTGCAGGCAACTACTAGCTAGTATAGTGTCGCAACCAGTGAGCTCTTGGGGGTGAAGCTCTAGCCCATAACCAAAAGGGAGGGGGGATGGCCAACTCCTCTCACTACTACCCAGCACAATATTATAAAGCCTTGACCAGTTTTTTTCAGCCATGTAATTTGGTAGGGAGATTATCTGGCCCTCAAAGCATTTGTGAGCAAAAATACTTTCCTATCAGCAAGGGCCCAAGACATTTTATCACGGGGCCCATGACTAGTCGTTAATGCTACTGATACTGCAACCTACTACAACATTCACTGACAATATTGTACGGAAATGAGATTGTTAAAAATCCAAAACGCAACTTTGCATGATATAACGATGCAGATGCATGTATTAATGCAAAGTGATGCAACATGAAGGCTTGCGCCTTTCAAGTGGGACCTGATGACACAAACTTGACAACCAGTGTTCTCCCAATTGAAAAATTTGTAATGGTATTTGTCCATAAAAATTCAGCAAGGTGCGCAGTGTGAGGTGTTACACCTTTAAAGTTTGGTGTAAGGATTCAAACAACAACACATACATTCATAGCCTAGGCTAGACTGGAATGATGTTAATTTATTGAAAGAGGGCCAGCCTAGACTACCTAAACGGCTAAAACGGCTTCGGGAGAACACTGATAACACAACTCTGAAGCTAGTCAACTTTTGCACGGTTTGCAGCTCCTTTTTGCATTTTCACAAGATCGCAAACGCGCAGGAAAAGCACATGTGCATGTTCTAAACCCGAGATGTTGTTTTACAGTTTGCGCATGTACATTTTGACGTCTGTGATGAGTGCTTAGTTAGCTTCACCAAAAAGTGGGAGCTTAAGACAGTTTGTAAAAAACGAAGAGATTGCTTTACTAAGTATAGCTGTGTCAATATAAGGCAAATAAATACAGTAGCTCCTCCTAGGCCTACCTGTAGTTATTTACTGATATCAATAAAAACCAGAATGTACAGCAACGTAGGCCACATCGCTAGATAATTACAGAAAAATACAGACCATTACCGATGTTCAAATGATTGTGTTCATGTGACAAGTGACAACTGCATCCATTTTGTTACATTGCAACACTTACAAAGTGAAAATTCAACTTTCCATAAATTAAAGGAAAGAGGATCCATGCGAAACTGCAGGAAGAGATTTAATAGTTAATAATAATAATAATAATAATAATAATAGTGATTTCTTTATATTGCGTCGCACTGCAGCAGTTATCTGACAAGTGGGAACCAAGCTTAAGATAGCAAGACTAAAGTCAAGACAGCTCTATCAACTAACACCTAGACCTCTACTTCTAGGGCCTTAGGCCCAGTTGTTAAATTTGTTGAAGCATATATCCACGACTGTGTGTGATGTGAATATTAATACTTGGTTGGAGTTGGACTGCTGAGCTGAGGCCTAGCCTAGAACCTAACTTAGTTAGAGGGCCTAACTAGACTAGGCCTAGCCTATATCATTCATATATAGGCTCCTATGCCTAAAGTTAATATAATCTAAGACTAAGAGCCTTGGCCTAGCCTAGGCCTCCTCATCATCATCATATAGACCTAAGGGCCTGGCTAGGCCTAGCCTAGTTCGGCTGGCTATGCCTAGCTGCAACGCTAGCCTAGGCTAGGGCAGAAATTTTATACCGGATTTAAAAGCAAAAAGCAATGATGGGAGGGTGTAAATCATGTCGGTCTTTTAATTTATAAAATTATGTAATTACCTGAAATTTATGAATCATAATCCAAATAAAAATATTCTAAATTATGAACGGAGGCACAGCGTAGTGCCCTTCCAATTCCGCAAACAATCGTACACCTTATGATGACATGACCTGTGGTCTGACGAGGGCTTATCCAATCATTTCATTAGGATTGTGCGATGTTGCTCTCAAAGCCTGCCCTCTCAAAACAAACACTTGTCTGATTTCTGGATCATCTTTTTTGTTTATTGACTTTTTAGCAAATATTCTGGCAGCGACTAATTAATAAATTATCATGATCAATAAATCATTAAATTGTGGACACACATTTTAAACACCGCGATAATACTTTACATAATATTTTAGTTTTAAAATAATAAAACTTTCGAGAAAAAAATTATTCAGCATGTGAGTGTGATCAATGTTTTTTTTTTATTAATATTAATTTTGAATTTCAAGAGCCCGAGTTTGTTCTTTGCGTTTACAAGTATTATTAAAAATGGATTATATAAAATAAGTAGCCTTTTACAAACACAAAGGAAACCTTCACAATGGAATATTTTGGAGTGAAGTTAAGTACCAAGAAGGTTCAACAATAACTGTCTCTTATACACATCTAGATGTGTATAAGAGACAGTATATATATAGGGCCTATATATAGTATTCTGACATTTGAATTCTGGAACTTGGTAAGAAGTTCTATCTTGTCTTAATACGTTCAAATTTAGCTATTCGTTTTTCCAACCATTTGATAGTGCCTTCGTATTTTTTTTTTCAACAATTTGATAGTGCCTTCGTCTTCTGTCGGATCGTACCTTCGTAAATGTGGTAGTTGTATTTTTAGTTATACATTTACAAAATCGTCTGGTAACTAGGGGTCCGTCATCACAAATACACCCCTAAAAAACAAGAACTTCCAGCACACGAGTTTGCAGAAATTAAAAATGAGATGAGTACCGAATAAATGTTTTTTCAAATCCTATTAATTTGACTTATTCGATGTCTGAAAAATGACAGTTGTTATAGGCATAGTTACAATTATTAAAGATTTCAAGTCACACAAATCTGTAGGCGTGAGTCTTTTGAAAATTCCGCCCCTATGGTATGGGAATGGACCCCTTCTCCTCTCCGCCGGAAATTTCATTTCCTAATGCTGAAAATGCATTCAGGATCTGTGTTTTTACTGGAAATAAAGCTTAAATAAACCCTTTTATATTCAGCTTGACTTGGTGTTTTGACTATCATTGTATCACCATCGAACAACATTGTAGTGTTAAGCTTTGTCTACCTTATCAAATTTTATGTATCAAAAAGTGTGACGTGCCCATATATGGGTACGATGACGTCATATATAACTCTTATTTTCTATCACATAATTTATGTGACGCTTTTTGATAAAAATTGATAGTGTAGACAAAGCTCACACTCGTACGAATAAGCGCCCGGCACTTATTTTTGTTTTTATTTTTTATCTTTTTTTTTTTTCACTTTCTGAGGGGCGCTTATTCAAACAGGGCGCTTATGAAAACAGATTATTGAAATAGATGAAAATTGAGGGGTGCTTACGGCGCCAACTTGGAAATTTTAACCGGGCGCTTTTTGAATGAAAAAAATTAGCCTATTCAAAGTAGGCCTACCCCATAATGCCAAGACTTGAGTAATGATGTAGTCCTACGTGAAGTCAGTACAATTACTATGGAGGGCGATAAACATAAATGACAACAATCAAAATATTAATTGACTGAAATTTCGCTGTAAAAACGAGTTTGTTTCAATCACAACCGGTAAGGTCCTATACCTTAACCACTGTACAAATGAATAAAATTACAAGATTTTTACATGCGAGTGTGAGGTCAGTTTATTTTTGTTGATTGAAAAAATGTAAATACTGTAGTTCGAAATCCAAGATGGTGTACTGGGTGGTATTGGCACAAGAACGCGATTCTATAGAATGGCATCAAAACTGAACACCATATTAAACTTGAATGGAGACTGACCGACTGACAGACGGATGACGGACAGACCGACCGACTGACAATGAGATGCGAATAGTTGATGCATTTGACGAAAATTAAGTCGATGATGTGCTTACTGTAGGCATACTGTATGACTGACTTTGTTTTTTTAGGAATCGGGGGCCTTTATTCAAATTGGGAGGGGGGATTATTATTCAAACGGGGCGCTTAAGAAAATGTTCACGTTAATGGCGCTCATTCGAGAGGGGCGCTTATTCGCGCGAGTACGAATACATGCATTTCAGGTCGTCTCTACACAAATGTGTGTCCCCGTCCCATCTTTATCACAGTGTAGTGTACCTACTGTAGATGGTAGAAATGATGTTACATTGATTCATTCGAAGTTTATTTCCGAAGTGCATCGCCAGTTAAAACTGAATTACAACAAATGGTTACAATTTCCATATAAAAATTACAAATATAAAAAAATAATTGATATTAATATTAAGCACTGTCAGATGGAAATTATTTAGTAAGAAAATGACTACCAAGGTCACAAAAAAATGCGCAAGTCACGCCGAATGCGTGAGACTTGGTTGGTCTGAAGAAGAAAAATTATCTAAAGGTCGAAATATTGAGTCATAATGACGCGCTTTTAATATTTCATACATGGGTAGAAAATATTTCAGAGCGGGATCTCAAACGATTACTAAGATTGATACTGGAATTAAGGTGATTATAATAAATGCAGACATTTATATCTGTACTTATAAAGGTTGGTTCAACTGTCTACGAAATGCTGTTTTGTAAAAACGGCATGTTCTTTCAAGTATCAAACGATCTAGCGCCCTCGATCGTCCGCAAAGTAATACTACAGTAACTTTTCATGCTATGATTGATTTAAAAAAGGATCTTTTCAAAGCTCACGTCTTCTTTATTTATGATCAGAGCGTATAATTTGGATCTCTTTATTTGCAGTGCATCGAGAACCAGTACTGTTCAACAACATATGCGCAAAAGAGCGTGAATCCTAACAAAGTTTCAATGGCCCAGTTAGATAAAGGCGTCTGCATAGATTTACAGCAGAATGTACAGGACTCGAATCTCCGTTGGAGGACTTTTTCACATTATATATGCAATACATAGGCCCCTACTACCAAAATTTCTATAAAGAGTAAAGACAGAAAGCCATTTTAAAAGCAAGAAGATTGTTTTTATTCTGACAACAGACGTTTGGAAAAAACAATTTTCATCATCAATGTACCAAGTGTTTACAAATGATTTAGTCTATACGTACATAGATTATGCTAATTAGCTGTTACGTAACTATTGCAATGTTGCCCCTATATCAATGCATTCTATATGTATACATATAATACAAATATTTAGTGGGTTGAGGGGCATGGTTCAATTTATTTCCGAGGTTATCTGGAGGCTGTACTATAAAGGGACATAGTACAGCCTCCCAATTAAATCCCAATAAATATGTGTTCTATATACCACTACATAGATTGTAGACTATTGACTGACTACAAGGGCATGGCTGGACCTATTGCCCAGCTTTTAACTAATCAAATGTCTGTAATCTATGTAGTCGGTATATAAATTAATATATTCAAATTAAGATTGATGCATATGCACTGTGAACATAATATAAAAAATAGATAAATAAGTGCTCGAACAGAAACGTATAATATTCGTATCAAGCATATAAAAGTATATATAATATTTAGAGATATATTTGATCTATATTCTGCTGCTTATTCATTTCTTCTGTGCACCTGATGAATGCTAATTGTCCAAAATGTTTATATTGATTTCATTAAACTTGCACCCTGCTCGACTGTCTTCTTGATATAATTCTTGCTTATGTGCAAGTACAAATTACATTAAAAAAAATGTATAAAGTAATATTGATGTTTATCATGCACATATAATAACAACAATAATAATCATAAACGAATATAATAAATTGGGCACAAAAATGAATAAAAATATTTAGGTATCATGACCCTACTGGCCAGCACGATGTTGAGTTGACTGGAATGTTGTATATTTACTTTGCAACACATTTAGGTTGTTTACAAAAAGATTAAGTTCGACACTCAGTGGCGAACGGAAGGTGCACAACACTCCAAAAATAATTTTCACCACCACTGGAAATTTCATGACTGAACAAGTTATACAATTTCAAATCAGCTCATATTACATTATTTCTCTAGATAGCGTCTTCACCCCTCATATTCTCTTTGTGCATAACTCAACCCCTTCTCCCATTATTAGCAGTGTTCGTTGGTGTCAGGTGTTTGAGTGGGCTAACTCCCCAGTTGGACAGGCCTAGACCCGAGCTGAAAACCAATCTGCCTATTCAAATGTTATTTTGATTGCTAATCTCCAATATTGCCGTCTAAAAAACACCATTTTGGTCAAAAGTACAGTAAGTCATGAACAACTCTCCCCATGAACCCTAATAAGGAATTTTATTTCAGTACCCTGACTGATCCTCTAGTTGGCCCCAGGGTTCGTCCTCCCCCTTTTGGGTATGGCGGGGCACTTGCTCCAGTAGGCAGCTAAAAAATTGAAAAAAAAAAAAAAAATGTGTCAAATTTCTAATAAAGATGCATCTAATACTTTGTAGTTCAGGAAAGATGTGTATAAGAGACAGGGTAATATCTTGTGTTCACAATAGCTTAGAGAACTGCTAAACACTTCTAATCGGGTCAAAGGTCATTCTCATCTTCGACTTTAGGTCCTCAATTGCCAATATTTGATGACTTGTTGTTTCAGCTTTGTATATTTTCTTCTCTTAAGAAAATGGGATGAAGTCTATATTGAATATACTTTATTCAGTATAAAGAACGTTCGTCAAACGGCAAGTTCGCATGGTACTGCAGGTGGAACATTCTCGGTTAAGGACTATAAACCGTTGGCCCAGTGTACACAATTGGCTCATGTGCATTTCATAGAACCCAGTACATCTTTCGAGATGAGTAGGGGGGCTAGGGGGTTTCCCCTGTGTACTGATCCATACACCCCCCTGCCATCTTGTGATGAGGATTACCACTTCGAAAAGTGATTAAATTCAATGTTTGGCATACCCTTGGATTTATATGTAGTACTTTATTTGACACAATCACAATTCATGATTTAATTCGAGGATTGTTTAGTTCTTTTACAGCTGATGAATGGATGGATGGATGCATGGCACGCAGCTGGATCAGATACAAGCTGTTTTTGGGGCGAAGAAAAACATTGCAATAAGGATTGCATATACTATCACCAACACAGATCCTGAAAAAATAAAAATAATATATACAATTTTAGAATGTTTGAAATAACTAATTGGTAAGTCTTTATTACAATTTTTTTTAGCTCCGATGAGGAGCTCTAGAAACACTCAACTGATTTATTAATAAATCTTTTTAGTTCTACTGCCTCTATTATACTGCCCCCATTTTATTTATTTATTTATTTATTACCATTTTTAAAGAGGGTGACCTACCTTCTTCCAGCATGAATTGATCATTAAGGGCATTTGATAAACAAGACATAAAGTAAAACAAATAAAATATTGAAAATTCAAAAGACAGAAAGAAGTTAAAAGGCCTACAATAAAAACAAAACATTAAAACTTGTTAAAATCAGTCAAAAATATAAAAATTTTTCTATTAATAAACTGCTTAAGTTCAAACACTTGGCTGATTGATTAATAGTTGATTAATAGATCTTTTTTAGCTCTACTGCCTCTCTTATACCGCCCTCATTGGAGCTTTCGAGATTAGAACTTGTTTTTAAATATGGAGATTTAATGGAGTGATGAAGTAAATGTAGCATAATAATCCCTTCTACAATAACGTCTATCCCCACCCCCTTTCCTCACCCCCACAACTCTTACCTTGGAAATAATCTGACTTGCCATCAATGAATATGTAATTCATAATGACAACACTTAATATTACAGACCAGAGATGAATATCATTGAACACGAGAAGAAAATGCATATTGTCCTGTAAATTAAAAAGAAAAGAATATGAAATCCAATCTCATATATATCATATCAGGTCATATTAAACTTAGTTCTTCTCTGAGATCTTTTACAACCACATTAATAAAAAAAAAACTACTTTTTTTAAGTAGCGATTAATCTAGTTTATGGAGTAGCTCTTCTCTCTGCTTCGAGGCAGCGTCACTTTAAAACGTTTTTATTTGGACTTCAGACCATGGAGGAATAAGTTCAGACTTACAAAAATGACATTGACGAGGACTAGTATAGGAATTTGAAGAAGACATACTTGCACTGCCACTGAACTCCCAATCTCTATACTGAAATTAACAACACAATTGTTATCAATTACTATTAAAATAATCAGTAGGATAGAACATTCACCCTCACTTACATTGACCTAAAACATATAGCACAACACATACTTGAGGGGGACAAGGTATCAGATTTTTGTCTGTTAGACTTCATCCATACACTCTAAAACTGGACATTAATTAAGCAATAGTTGTGGTATGTGTGTTGGATATATTTGGTATTTGGCACTATATAAATTATCATTCACCATTATCATTGATTACAATATATAGTATTGTCAGACTTCTAACAGTAATGGAAAAACACAAGCTTTGTTTTATCAGATAAAACTCTGATAGTATGCTATGTACTTGGCTTAAGCATATGAATTTAAAATGAATAGTCTGGCCAAGAGGTCATGACTCCTATTGGATACATCTGGAAATATTATTAATTAAAGTTAGGCATTTACCATCAGACTTTGTCTGTCAGATTTAAGAATGTTTGATCAGACCTAATAAAGTACTGTAGAGTATTGTCTGACTACTAAAGTCTGGACTATCAAACTTTATTTGACAAAAACTTGTGACATGCCTAAATATGGTCATTATGACATCACATCATGACCATATATAGGAACATCATGACTATATATTTGCATACAAGTTTTTTTTTCAAAGAAATTTAAATAGTGTGGACAGACTTAACAGACATTTGTTTCATCAGATATGTCTGAAGTAAGTAAAAAAAATCTGATAGAATGTGCCTGGCTTAAGCATATGAATTTAAAATAACATGTAAGTATGGTATATGAATATTTGTTATAAAAATGATTAGATTCATTACTTTTATAAATAAAAAAACAGTACATAGAAACAATTAATAATAACTATACAATCTAAAATACTCCATATGCAATATATGTTAAAATCAACTTAAACTACAAAAGCAGCCAACACAAATACAGTACTACTAGAAACATTTCAATCAAAACATGCTTAGTGGAAATCAAAAACTTATTATTAAACAAAACTCTTGTAGAAATAGAAAGTATATTATTGGATTGATGATTTGTTTATCTTTGAATATTCTGGATTAGCTTTCATATTAATGATTATTGTTCCACAATACGAAAACTGGAGTACTGGAGTTGAATAGCATGGTGGATAAAGCGATGCTCGCCTTCTAATCTTGGGGTCCTGGGTTCAATTCCTGAGACAACAGGACTTGTTCACAAAAAAATGTTCAAAAAAAAAAAAAAAAAAAAAAAAAATTATAATTGATTTACCTCATGTTAATATTATTTTGCCGTGCAAACTGAATACCGTTAAGGATTTCGGGAATACTTGGGGCAAGTGCAAGAATAGTTACACCTGTAAACATCTGAGAGAAAAGAAAAATAAAAAATGCATTATGGATTGATATCAAAATTATTAGGCCAACATGACATATATACAAGTACAATCAAGCTCACACGTTGGTGTCTCAATTATGTTGTGATGTATAATAGTCCAGAGGTTGTTTTTTTTTAAAACAAAATGTAAGCACCATGGCCGATAACACAACCTCTGTTAATCTAATTTCAACTATACTCTTGCATTGATCTCTGTGTGGTGAGCTAAAGCTAAAATGAATGAACGGATGAATGGATGGATGGATGGGAGGATGTAGGGTGAACAGATAAATGCATGAATGAATGAATAAAAAATATATCAATGATTGGATGTATAGGTGGATGGCAGAATGAAAAAAAATTAATAGATAGATGGATGGATGGATAAATGAAAAAATGGGTAAGATGAATGGATGGATGAATATACAGTATAATGAATGAATAAATGGATGAATGAATGGATGGATTGATGAATGAATGGACAGATGGATGGATGGATAAAAGGATGGGTGGACTGATAGATGAAAGGATGGGTGAATTGATGGACAGATGGAAAGATAATTGAGTGGATAGATAGTTGAATGGATGGATGGATGGGTGGATAGATGGATGGATGGATGGATTGATAGATGGATAGATAGATGGATGGATGGATGGAAAGAATGTATGGACAAATGGATAGATGGGTGGATAGATGGAAGAATGGATGGATGGATGACTGCATGGATGGATGTATGGATGAATGATGGATGGATGATGAATGGATGGATGGATGGATGGATGGGTAGATGGATGGATAGAAGAATGGATGGATAAATGAATGTATGGATGGATGAATAGGTGGTTGGATGGATGCGTGGGTGGGTAGAAGTATTAATGGATGGATGGATGAATAGATGGATATATAGATGCATGGATGGGTGGATGGATGTACAGATGGTCAAATTGGAAGAATAATGAATAAATGGATGAATACATTGAAGGATGGATGGATGGATGGATGGATGGGTGATTGAATGGGTGGATGGATGAATGGATGGATGGACGGACGGACAGATGGATGGATGGATGGATGGATGTGTGGGTGGATGAATGGAAGTACAGGATAGATGAATGGATGGACAGATGGATGGATGGAAGTAATAATGAATAGGTAAATGGATAGACGGATTAATGAATAAATAATGAATGAATGGACAAAAGAATATGAGTAATGGATGAATACATGGATGGATGAATGGATGGATGAATGAATGTAAAATTGTTTGATCGAAAGCACTCCCCCATCTACCCTTGACATTAAATTAGTTCCAGAGAGTTAAATTACTATTATTAAGTTTTCAATCAAGTTAAGGAAGCACGGAATGAAAGTAAAAGAGAAGATAATTAATAAGACGGTTATCTAATACTATAATAAAACACAAAAACAAGAAATGTGAAAGTAAAATATAAGGTCAGCTAACATTTGATAAGTTTGAGACGATAAGTTTTCTCTCCTTCTTATTTGCATTATTATTTTTCCCTCTAGGGTCCTCCTTTTGATTTGCACAGTTGAAGCTTGTCAACTACTCTGATAGTCAATGATAACCGCTTGTTCTTTTGATCCAGAAAGGTTAAAAAATTTATTATTACTATTATTATTGAAAAAAGAATTTAGTCCCGCATTCTGGAATTTTGTTCTGCATTCTCTCACCCCCTCCCCCCAGACCCTAAACAAGTCGAATGGCTGAGCGGTTAAGGCTGGGGCACCACAACCTACAGCCTAGTATCATTGTTGGTTCGCACGCTCGCCCTTTGGTTCTGCTTGTAGTCTTCTCAGATTATAACTCATAGGCCAAGTGTACACAAATGGCTCATTGCACTTTAAAGAATCAGGTACATCTTTCGAGATAAGTAGGGGGGTTACCCCAGGGTACTGGTCCATACAGCCCCTGTTACCTTGCAGTTACAGACTATTAGGTCCTTTGCAAAGGATGTACCTACTTAAACATAAACCAGCATACACTTCTAACCTACCTCTGACATTCCCCAGGAAGTGAGAAGAGGCTGGATATTTTTGGCAACAAGTTCTGCGCATAAAGACGTGACTGTTACCGCTACCAATAAAATAATGCCACTCTTAATCCTCCCCCATAATACTATTGGCTTGTGTCCTGCAAATACAGAAAAGAATTTAAAAATGGTAACAACAATAATAAGGATTTATTACTGCTTCTCTTTTTACTTTATTTAAGAAAACATATTTGTTTATTTCTATAGTGCCTTCCTTTCTTACTCATCGAAGACTGTCGTCACATGCATTTTTCTACTTTAAATAAACTTCAATTTTGTATAAAGATGCGTATCCGAATATATTATAAACACAACAACTTTAATTTTTAATTCAGTACAACCCTTGTTCTGGCCTGAATGCAGATTCAGCCAACAACCGTTCCAAATTTCAGGAGAGAATGTACTGCATGTTCAGACATACACAGTTAAACTAACATGTAACTTAACATCATGTCACGTTGTCACAAAATTGAAACTGTTCAACTGTACATATATTTCTTGAGTTACCTTTCCCGTCACCATGTTGAGTGTCAAAAATAAAAGTATGTGTCTTCAAAGTATAAATTAAACCAATGAGGTACGCCAGAGGAAGCAGTGCTGTGCAGGTATACACCAACTGATTCAGTTGCTCCGTCAGTTTGGTGTCTTCTTTTGTGCCTGCCTAAAAGGAAGTAAAAAACATAAAAAAATTTAGGGGGCTAATTTCGGCCCTGTCAAAGAAAATTTGATAGTGTGGGCAAAGGTTTAAGCCCTTCCCAGAGTATAAACTTTATTTGTCAAAAACATGCGACACTTCCCTATTAGATAAAGTCATGATGACATCACATCATGACCATATATAGGCACATCATGACTATATATGGGCATACAACCATTTTTGTTTGTCAAAGAAATTTTGATAATCTGGACAAATCTTTAGATAAAAGGTATTTATATCATAGATAAAGGGTCATGAATTCTTTTTGTTGGGTTGCCAAAAAAAATGAGAATCAATGGCAGAATGCAGAGGCCCCAAGACTTCTTCAGGCCCCACTACCCTCAAATAGAGTGCCCAGTGGGGTTTGGGGCAAACTTTCCGATTCAGTGTCTTTTTTTTTCTTTAGGATATAATTGTGATGTTTTTACATTTTTTATGCGGTGCTCATTTTGAGAGCGGAGCTTATTCAAGAATTTACGGTAATATGACAGGTTATCAGGGTTGGGCTGTAAAAACAAGGTAATTTTTAGCAAATGAATTGGTAGGCTGCAAACATAGGTTGATTTAGATAAACATGTAAATACACGATACCAAAGCTGATATAGTGCGTACCTACCACAGTATAATGACATTCTAGACAACTAAATCCACCAGATGATGTATTGGTATTATTTGAGCAATCCTATAAACAACAATAATACAGTTATATTAGACATCATTCATGCTGGCAGTTTTGGAGTATTTTTAGCAGTCAAAATTGGAGAAGGGGTATGTTGCAATTACCACATGGCTCTAAATTCATCACTTTATACATGTAATTTTTCTTTAGCAGAGTTCCTAAATATATATTACTTTATGTATCAATTATTTAATAGCATCTCAACTTTGTTTTGTGAGTCCAAATGCCATCTAGTTGATCTCTATAATGCAAGACAGAAAAAAAAAAAAATTAAGAGAGTGAAGATATGAGATTTTGGATGACAAGACCAGTTAAACAGTCCTACCAGAGAGTGAATTCCTATGTAAAACATATTTGCTAGAAGACCCTAATTGTCATACAATAACAACTACACTGTCTAAGTTACATAATACTTACGGAACATTCGATAGCGCCAAATGCTTTAGCAAAGATGGTTGGAGTGAACGCTCCAGCAACGGAGATAAACAGAAGCGAGGAGCTTACTCCAGCAGAATGCATATTAAAACGCTGTTCTCTATGCTTAATTCCTCCAATCACCATTGAAATACCCTGATCAAATGCAAATAAGACACTTGTCAGTTAAATTCTCTGCTATTTGTACTAAACAGTGCATACTTATAAAATTTCTATGAAGTGTTTAAGAATACAGGAATAAAATACCCAGTAAATTGTAGGCACTAAATTAGGCCACAAAAACACAATGTAGATATAATTACATCACCATATGAAACTGAATTCTAAATGTATACACTAAAACACATAACAAGAAATATTTGAGAAAAAAACAAAAACCTTCCCATCTGGATTTGAATCAAAAACCTCCTGATTACTGTTTTGATACTCTACCAACTGAGCTTTCAGGCCATCCGAATAGTAATCAGAAGGCCTTGGGTTTGAATCCAGATGGGGAAATACGATGTTCTCAAATACTTATCATCCTTAATTAACACCAGTGGAGGTGTATCGCCATACTAAAGTTACTTTTAGAAAAATCCAAGGGTGTATACAGCACCACTTGGCCTCATAGCTCAGATGGAGTATGATATGGTAAATTAAAAATGATGATGATACTGTTATGTATTTATTTAGCTTCTATTGGAGGAGCCAGGAATTTGAAATAGAAGGGACCCAGGGAAGAATTTAACAGATGGAGGACTTTAGACAAAAATATCATAGTTACGGCAACTCTAAATGGCATGCTCAGAATTCTAAATTTTTCTAATTAAAAAAAAATTCAAACATTTAGGAGGGCCAGACTGACTGGGGCCCCCTTGATTACACCCCTGCCTTCTTGCCAGCAAATACATCAACAAAAGAAAATTTATAGAAAAATAATGCAATATAATGAATCAATTGATATTTACACATTATTTTATTATATTTTTCTATTTCATAAATACTTTTGTAGGCCCACTATATTGTACTCTTCTTGTCTTTAGTTGAAAAAACAATAAGACCAATGATATATTTGATTTATGGATTTCTTACCGGAATTAGCAACATTGTAGCTAGTAGCGTTCCAGTGAGGGCGGATTTTACAAGGTCATCATAGCAGATCCCTTCTTCGTTGTTATTTTTGAAGAGTGATGAGATGTAGAGCGTAATCTCAACTACTGAGCCAAAGGTAGCATTTATTACCGCTCCAACAGCGTGCGAACTTTGAGCAGATATGCTGTAATGAGAACGAACAAATTACTTATATGCTGTTTTTAGTTTTACACTGGATTGCAAGACTCCTGGGATTCATATGGGAAGTCTCTTGGAAATTTCAACTGTCTTTCACACCCCTGAGAACAAACACATTCTTCAACTCCGGCAAACAGCTTAGTTCAGTTGGCTGAATGGGATGAAGAAACTGTGGAGATTTTTGGTCCCTGGTTCAATGGCATCTTCTCATATCCTTGTCTTTTGGCTGGAAAGCTGAAATATGATATCGCGCCGTCTTTCAGATGAGACGCAAGATATTGGTTTTGTGCGCAATACGGCCCATGTTCACCTGAAAGAATGCTGGTTACTCTTCGGAAAAAAGCAGTGGATTATCTCCAGGTGTACTGCCAAATCGCCACCAGAAGGACTCTGGAATCAATTCTTTGGACTCAGTGGGTTACACCCGCTTCACATCGCTGCAACTTTATGAAGCATAGTTACTATTAAACATCACCATCATCATAGGTATAATCATAATCACATTTATCATTGTCATTATAATACCATTATCAACATCATTACCATTACAGCTATCATCCCAATTATTAGGCCAAAAAAAATAAATTGTTTGTTTGCCCTTCTTTTTTTAAAAATGATAAATAGGGGCGGGTGGAAAAAGTTTTTTTTTTAAATTAATTAATTTTTTTTAAATACTCATCAGATGGAATAAAAATAACCCACAGAGGCCTAGAATGGCACTATCTTACATCAGACAACACCTTTAGACTAATTCGTAGAGCATCTGGCAAAACATAAAGATAAATTCACTCATATTTTTCTTTAATTTGTTAAGAAAAAAGCTAAAATAAAAAATGTTTTTGTTTTTCCGCCCCTATTTTTTCCAGTGAGTTAGGGGCGGGCGCGGAGGGCAAACAAACAATTTTTTTTTTTGGCCTTGTCAACAACATCTACAACAATATCCTTATCTACATCTTCATCTACATCATTATCATCAACATCCTCATCCAAGTCTTAACCTTACCTTGTTATGCCCATTCCAATATAATATGACATTGGAATAAAACTGATCAAAGCTAGAACAAATATCTGCAAAATATAACACAAATTTCAATCTACCACCTCAATGTGAACAAATAACATCAGCAAATAGGAAAAGGCTATGATAATTATTCACATCAACTTGCATTCAAAATATGTATAAAAATAACCTTATATGGTACTCAACTTAAATTGTCTAAAAAATAAGCTCTCAGACAGAGGTTTGTACTCTACTATGTTTATACTAAATTATTATCTGCATGGGATGTCGGTTTTGAGAAGTCCGTACTCGTTTATCTCTGCACACTATGTTTGGTTTCAGACCTTTTGGTCTCAGAGTTATGTCGTTGAAACGCAATCCTGTTATTGTATCTCAAAAAGTACTACGACGACCAAGAGGGTGTCCTTCTAAAGGCAATCGTATTGAATGTGTGCTGTTTCTCTATGATCCATGTTTGAGATTCAAACGCAATTAGAACGTAATGTCAGAAAGAAGTAATCAGCGCATGCAAGAACGTTGAGTTCCTGAGGCTGCCTGGAAAATTGCAATTTGGCCCAAATTTACGCAGTGCAGAGAATGTAGAACTGCCACGAATAAGTAAATCCGTTTTGGCGTTACAAATCATCACACAAACCCAGTGGCGCCGAGAGGCCGGGGTAACCGGGGCAATCGCCTGGGGCTGGCGGGGGCCCGCGATAGCTAGGTAAAATAATAATAAAATAAAATAAATAGATAAAAAACATATTCATAAAATATCCAGTATCATTCATTGTTTTTTCCAGGAGGATTGTATATAAAGCTGACCATTTATAGATGAAAGCTGGTTTAAATTAATCGTTTCCAATTCTTTTTTTATCTATATTTTCATGACTTCTACTAGTTTATCCTTACAATGTATCAAATAGTAAAAGTTTACGTTATTAATTCATAATTATAAAATACTTAGATCCTGGACATTGTGAATAGACATACAATTTTGAAAATACGAATAAACCTGATAGACATTTGACTGCCAAATAAATGATGAATTAATATATGAAATCAGTGGCAGATTTGAGGGGTGGCCTGTCCCCCACCCCTAAATCTTTCAAAATTTAACAAAATTGAGAAAAGAAAGAAAATTCTACTCAAATTTAAGTCTAAAAGTGCCATTTCCGGAAGTTCAGAGGTGCCATAATCATAAATTTTTATACCTCAGTCTCAACCATGCTGGGGCTGAGGTGGATAGACCATTCATTGTGGAAGTTCTCCTGTGGGCCCCATCTATTTAAAATTCCTCTATCTGCGACTGTGAACTTTGATACCTATGTTATGAATCTTTTCAGCACAAAGGAAAGATAGATTTTACTTCCTTGTTTCTGCACTATATTTTTTATGACCTGGTAAAATTAGGCACCCTATAATCGATTAAATTAGTCCTCTAATCCGTTAAAAGGCCGTAGCTTCCAAGCTCCAGGGATCTGTCCCTTGTTCCCTAGGCAGCCCCAGACCCCCAACCAATGGGCCCGGGCAGGGAAGATACGCTCTCAGCGGGGCCCTGCACAAACTGAAAGCTCACTAATATTATAGTTTGAACCATGGCCCTCGATGCAGTCAATATTTCTATCATGCAAAATGACTTACAGTAGGTTGAGAGACATACAACCCATCAATATTCAAGTAACCTAAGATGAGGGCGGCCAATACGATTGGCAACATATCTGTAAAATTTGTATGTAAGGATGACAGAAATAAATATTAAATACAAAATTACAATAGACAGTGCTTGTATTATTATTATTGCTTTTTCCCTTTTGAACAAAAAATTGGGCTGTATTTGTAAGGAGGGGGGGGGTGAGCTTAAGGCAAACTCAGACAGCATCGTATGATGTAGTCTGACGGGAGGGTTTGGGTCGGGGACGGTCGCGTCGTAAAATATTAAACATGTTCAATATTTCTCACGACAGCTCAAGACTGTCCCCGACGATGAATCATGCCGGGCTGCGTCGTACAACACTGTCTGAGTTGGCATTTACAGCTGGAGAATCTCCTTTTCAATCATAAGCCAATTTTTCAGGACTTGCTTATTACTTATGCCAAAGGAAATTGTTTTTTCTTTTTTTTTTTTTTTTTTTTTTTGTAAATAGTATTGTTACCTTTGCTAACTTTTTCAAATCATGCCCTAGCATACAGATCAAACCTTTTCTTTCCTTTATGGCACTGAAGCAGGTAACTAAATAAAGGATGTTGAAATTCTCAGTGTTTATAATGTCAACCGTAACAAAAATAACAATAATAAAAACCACACTGACAATGAAGGTGTTCAGATTTCTCTTCTCAGTACTGAATTGTATAATACGTACATACAGTACCACATAGTTTAAATTGTATTTTGTTATTCTAGTTTATTTATGAATTTGGAATTTCCAAATAATTTGAAGGAATAAATGAATGTTATGATATGGTACACATCAAACATATACTTGTAATAATTAAAGAATAGGCTCCCATTGGAAGCCCGAGTCCAAATCTTGATTTTAGTTTTTGTTTTTTTTTTTACTACTTTTCGACTCACAAGTTGGTGGAGGTAGGCCTTACTATACATTACTTGGTTTTTCCTAGAACAGGCCTAGGCATGGCATCATATTTTGTAGGCTTATACTGAATAGAGCCAGTCGAATGGCACTTCAACACCATGAAAAAAAAGCACAAACAAGACTTATTTTCATCTGCTTGTGATGCAATTAGCGACATTATTCTTCTTGAAATGGAGGGCTGATGGAGGGGGTTCAAAGGTGAAGAGTGGACCTTGATGAATAGTTGAGGGGAGCTTGCAAAATAAGGTGATTTGTAATTACTGAGCATGAGAGATTTGCTTTGAATACTTTCATTGGTGGGGGGGGGGAGAGAAGGGAGGGTGCCCCAACTCAATAAATACTAGTGGATGCAATGATGGGTATCCCATCATTCCTCCAACCAGAATTACATTTACACAAAATATTCTTACACTATCCTAGTGTGGATTTTTATGATTCGGGAGAACCCTCTTTTTTAGCAAACCCCCCCTCATTTCTGCTGAACCCCTCCCCTTAAATTTCCCAAACAAGTCCTCCAACTTAACTAATGCATTGCTGACACACCCAGATTCAGGTGCTTTCAAATATATTTACTTTTAAGGATATGGCTGGCTATGGGGTGTTCGGCAACCCCACCGGGGCTTCGCCTCTGGACCCCACGCCCAAAGAAACCCCCCCCCCTTTGGAAGAACTTGGCTACGGGCCTGAATACAAAAAGGATACTGACAATAAAAATGTTGATACCGTCGATTGTGTACTTGTAATAATACACATTCACAGCTTGATATGAGCACATGATCATTTCACGAGGCTTTGCATTAGATCGATTCCACTGCAAGAAAAGAGTAAAAGATAATTAATTAATTAACAGTCTGGTGTGTTGTGTGGTGAGATCTGGTACCCTGGTAGCATGTGGAGCGTGGAGGACAAGTGCATGTGGCGAGTGGTATCTGCTTGCTACAAGCATTTTCAGTTTACCTTTGTAATACTGTGTACTTCTATGGTCTATCGAGCTTGTGAATATACAAATAAAATTCAAATATTACAAAAAATTGGGCTGCTAAAATTATTCATAAAGGTCTCAAGATATGATTCAAGCTCAGAAGCAGTCACAAACCTAAACTGGAATAATCTAAATTTCAAACTGTATCAAGATGAAGCCATGTTTAAAATAATGAATTCTCAAATGAGAACTTAATTTAAAAAAAAAAAAAAATTAAAGAGTGCAATCAAAAGTGACCAGGTCAAAGGATTTACCTGAGGTACCAAAACCAAGTACTCAAGAAAAGAAGTTTTCCATATCAGGAGCCATTGTCGGGAATGAACTAAATCTCAATACGAGAATGACCCCCAAATATTTAAACTTTTAAGATTATTATTAAAAAATAATTGATAAATCTCGCCCATGTTCACACTAAAAAGTTTGATGTGATACCCATATATGAGTGTGACATGTCATATATGGCAAATTACATAGACATCACAGCAAAATTAATAGTGTGGAAAGAACTTTATATATGGTCGTATCCTGTACAAAATCTGACTTCAGATGTCAGAAATAAAGCAAATAAAATAAGTTGAACTAGCCTACAATGGCCAGGGATTGTGTAAAGCCAGAAGTACCATGGGCTTCAAAGACCTGCGACAAGAAAAACATGAAATGTTAATGATAGAAATGGTTTGGCGCAGTGGGAATAGTTTGGTTTCCCAATCTCGAGGTCGGGGTTTCAATCCCCTCGCTGTGCATTTCGCTTGTGACCGAGGGCAAGGCACTTTATCTACATTGCTTCTCTCCACCCAGGAGTATAAATGGGTACCTGGTAGGGTTAAATGCCAAAATGCGCTGATGTAGCTGCTGCGTCTAATCCAATGACCGGGGGTAGTAATGTGAATCGTTTAGAGGCCTTGTTTGCATTAAGCGCTATATAAACATATTATTATTATATTAATTTATGGCTAATATTTTTTTTTTTAAACTGTCAGAGGATGGAAAAAAAATATATAAAATTTTGTTTTTTTATTATTATAACAAATAGCTTTGCCAAAAACATCCAGATGGAGGAGAAAATAATAATAAAATTGAATTAGGGATTTTGTAGTACAATTTCTGATTCAGAAATTGTTTTTCTGTATCTGTTTGATTTATTCTTTTAACTGAGTATTCCAAGTTTTAATTTGAGTTCTTGAGGGGTTTAAAAAAAAGCATTGTTGGCAGCAGTATGTCTTTATTATCAGGTGAACCATGGTACATGAGTGGCAAATCTATAAATCACAAACACTCAATCTAAAATATTGCATAAACTATATAGTACTACAGTGTTACGTTACGGACCCAATTGTTTCCACTGACAAACCATCGATCTTAATTTCTAACATAATTATAAAGATGTTGCATCTTAATTTTTCTTTGTAAATTAAATGTGTGTTCGATAACGACTATAATGCGAGCTTTTGTGTTTTTAGTACATTTTTATGGTAAATTATTAGGTTTTAAATACCTATTCCAGAAAGACTATTCTGAACCATCATTATTATGAAGTAACTTAGACGTAATGAATGGTTACCAACGACTGCTGACAAACAAAGGACTCCACCTGGTATTGTGACGACACAACTCATTGGTGGATCTGAGGGGGTCAGGAAGTCCTGCCTCCACCACTCACCTTGGAAAAAAAATAAAAAAAAAATAAAAAAAATAAAAAAAATCTAGACCTACCTTTTAAGAATGCATGAGTGGATTTATTTTCGTTACAATGGGAAAATTAGAAGTCGGAAAAGCTCATTTCCCGCAATCTAGGAATCAAAATTTTTTCCGGGGGAGGACATTCAACCCTCCTTCCTTTTTGGTGTTCATTAATTCATGGAAATCAGAATACGTATACAACTACTAATTATTTTTCTGTGTACACCGATACATACCTAATAGGCCTATTATACTGCAATAGGAATGAGAAAAATTTATCTTACCGTTTAATACAAAAGTGGAAAAACTTGCATTTTTAAGAACATAAAAGTCATAAAAATATTTCAGAAGTCGCCTAAACTCATTTTTTGCCATCTAGAAATCAAGATTTTCCCAGGGGAGGGCACCCGACCCCCTTGCTTTTTTGGGTTTTGGAAAAAAAATGTGACCCCCCCCCCCCCAAATGTGAACCCAGGTCTGCCCCTGTTGTTGTACTCCATGACATCCAATATCAAGTACATTCACTATGATAGAACAGCGTTGTATAATGCTTTTATGAGCTGTATCAGTATTTTACCCTACGTCCCAAGGATTGGAATTCATTCCTGGATTATATATAAACATCAAAAAAAGTTTACATATGTTTTGTGGCCACTTTTTTTTTTATTATCAGTGATAACTAACATTAGGTCTACTCGCACTACTGTATGTAAAAAAAAAAATTATCTACCAAACCTAATTTCAAAATTTCCCTTTTCAGTTTAAATTAAAAATAGATGATTCAGATGGGGTGTGGGCTTTTTTATTGAGTATACTCACTCAAGCATTCTATAGCAGTGGAATGCTTGTTAAAGCTGTGAAATGCTTTCACTTGTCAAATGGACTCGTGCAGGTAAGACATTATTGTTTTTTTCTCCAATTTCATTGCAGAAAGATCATTATCAATTGTGCTTATTAATGCTAGATCTATACGTTGGATTAGGGTCGAAGCGGCCGAGGCTAAAAGCAGCCACGCTCATAATGTATGGCATGCTAGTAGTGCTACAAGATTTTATATGGTACACTTTAGGCTGGCGTTCAATTTCTTACTGTAGGTCAGCTACTCAATACAGTATAGTTACTTCTTCATATCTATGCCTTCTTTAAGCTGTTGTAATATTAACAAACGATAAGAAAATATATTGAAAATTCTAAAATTTTTATTCTGTTTTATCTTATCAAATGTTTCGAAATGAAGAGATCACTGATAAATTTCACATCGTACTCGTATTATCAAATTTTAAAGTTAAAAACAGTTTTACATACGACATTAATTTATGTATGCATCATATATTTAATTAACTTTACTAGATTTTCAGTGTACAGTAATATAAATTACAGTAGAATGTAATGAGTACATACTTAGAAATTAATTATTATCTCAGCCAGGAGATATATGTTTTAAGACGTGTAAGTTTTTGTGTATGTGTAAGGTTTTGCTCTTTTCCTGATTTTGTTTGCATTCGTCAAGATCCAAATTAGGGGATTAACTTGAGGTTCATTTAAATTTTAAAGTTCCTGCATGTTTCTTGTGTTCAAAATATCTCAAAAACAGCTTTAACAGTTCCAACGATTGTTAGGTATGACACAAGGATGAGGTATTATATTTTGATGACCATCCAGCAAAGGGTGTGCATATGAGGACCATTCAAAGAAAAACTTCCCATACCAGATATTTCAAAAACTAATCAACTGATCGAAACGAAACTTCTGTGAAAGTTTAACCAAGTTACATTGATCCGATTACTAATATATAACCCGATTTCGTTGGTTTTACCATGTAATATTTTGGGCAACCATATTATATATATTTTTTTTATGTTCTTATGAATTTTATTATTTATACCCTTGGTTCTTAATTAATTTGTTTGCAGGGTCAAATTATTTTTAAAGTTGACCTCACGGCATATTAAAGCAATCGTTATACATCTGGGTAAAACCCTTTCCCCTAAAGATATGTTTATTTAAATGGGTTTTTTTTTTTGGCAATTTAAATCATAGTTTTTATTGTACTACAAGAAGTCAGCTTGCGTCATCAGTTTAACCACATATTTTATATTATCCAAAAGTATATAATGCTATTGACGAATCACAGTGAACCGAAAAAAACAAACACGCAGAGATGAAACTTGGCAGCACAAAAATTTGTGTAATGCTCTATGATTTGTTTGAAAAGAATGCTCTTGACAAAACACAGTGATCACCAAAACTTGAAAAAACCCTGTATGACTTGCATTATGTGTTGGACAATGTTAAGATGTGTATAAGAGACAGACCAAACCTAATTTCAAAATTTCCCTTTTCAGTTTAAATTAAAAATAGATGATTCAGATGGGGTGTGGGCTTTTTTATTGAGTATACTCACTCAAGCATAGATTTAGAACACAAATTTCATTCAAAACATGAATATTTCAACCAACCGTTATTGGGTCTTCTTCAGCATGTGTGACAAACAAAATATAAGTTGGCTTTTACAACAATTATGATAAAAAGCAAAGTATAATATAATTTGGTTGATATATTCATGTTTTGAATAAAATTTGTGTTTTCAAGTTGTTGACATCATCGTTTTTTCATTGAGTTACTGTATGTATCTAAGGAACACATGTGGATTACATCATGCCTCTATATATATATATAAACACGAACAAAGTAGACAAACTTCCATATGCATTTATCACTACAAGCTTGTTTCGTAAGGACAGTCGTCTGCCTTTATATATTCACTTGTCTTCAATTTGTATTCAAAGGGTACATTGCTGCATAGCCATATATAAATATATATATATATATATATATATTTATCTACACGTATATGCACGTGTAGATAAAAATTTGTGTTATAATTGCAGGGAGATGATGAGAGATGTAAAAGGACCTCCAAGTGAAAACTACCAACCTCCTATATTGACACAAGCCATAATTGCATCTGACAGGAGTGAAGTCATGGACAATGGAGCTGAGAGTCCATTACCACTCCGTTCAAATACGGTAATTATAATTTTATTTTCCTTTAAATTTTAACACATATACATGTTGATGGGCCTTTACCACACATTGGGTCGCCAGCCAAAAAAAAACAAACCTGAATATATACTTACTTTACAACA